TCACATTAATGCCAGAACCTGTGTAAGCTGGCTGTGCACAGGGCAGTGGTCCATGAAGCCAGCGTCACACTAATGCTCTCGTCTTTAGGTGTAATGTTGCATGAAACGACTCTGCCATTTTTGGGAAAAGAGCGTAAAACCTCTTTTAGGGTAATTATTTCCAGTGACGCCATCAGCTATGTTTGTAGGAGAGACTCACCCCCCCTGCTGGCCTGTTATAGGCCATGGGGGGGAAAGAAGCTCTTTCTTTTTCTGTAAATGAGGTTTCCGATCTCCCGCCGGGTTTGTTTTCCCAGTAATCAGACTAGCATCTGAGCTGAGGCCCCTCCACTCACCCCCCACCCCCCCCAAGTCCGACGATCAAATGAAAGTGAGTAACGCGCTGGATCTGGGGCCGTAATGATCGCTTGGGGCCCTGATTAGACACCTTTCAAACTGGCCCTGATCTGCTCGAATTATACGAAGCAGCATTTGCCTCCCCCTTTATGGCGTCATTCTCTCTTTTTTAATGAGCATGGGTCCTTTGAGAATTCCATCCTTGCCATTTTGCGGAAACGCCATTGGTAGGATTTCTCCCACGGACGTCACGGTGACCGAATGAGTCCCTGGATGCCCCCCCCACGGCCTGTGAAGGTCTCCTCCAGAGCGGTGTGGCCCGGGGGAGGGAGGACGGTGTGTGGGTCCTACGAGAGGTCAAGAACTTTATCATGGCTAAACCCAGTAACAGCAGCTGGACCTAATCACCTATTGGCTGGTGGAGGAACTGGTTGTCAGTGTGTTGCCCATGTGACAGACATGATGTTGGAGAGCTCAGTTTCGCAGGACAGCCCGTCGTTCAGTCTTACATATATATATATATATATATATACACACACACACACACACACACACACACACACACACACACACACACACACAATGTGTATAGCCTCTGGTTTCCTTCTCTTGGGTGGTAGCGTAGATTGCTAATCACAGACTGCTTTTGCTCCCTGGGTCATGTAGCAGCCATGCTAGGTCAAGTCTGCTAAAGATAGGGCCCACTGACGCTCCACTTAACTGCCGGGTTTCGTGTTTCACAGGGCACGGGCTGCACTGCCACCGAGCTATCATCACCATCTGCAAGCTGATCGGCATCGAGGACATGTACTGCAAGGTGGTCGGGCCCACCAACCTCCTGAACCTTACCCGGGCTCTGTTCCAGGGCTTGGCAAGCCAGGTGAGTCGCTATGGAGACGGGCAATGGCCTCTTACGGACGGTGAACTTACCGAAATGTAACCCGGTTCCAAAAGCAAAGCCAGATAGCCAGCCTGTGTCAGGCCGGTAGTGGTCCGGCAACATCAAGGTGGATGGGTCTGTAGCTTGACTTCCTCCTCCCCCCCCCCCCCCCCCCCCCCGCAGAAGACCCACCAGGACCTGGCGGAGAAGAAACATCTCCACGTGGTGGAGTTCCGCCACGAAACCGGTCCCCTGCCCCACGTGGTGGCATCACCGGCCAAGGGAGCCCGGCCAGAGCCCGAGCCTGAAGGCGAGGTCCCTGACACCAAGCTGGAGTGGGATGAGGTGCGGGCTGCCCAAGGCCAGCGCCGCTCACCCTGGGCCGGGGTCAAGCGGACCGTCTGCTGAACCTCACGGCCGAAGCTGCCCGCATCTGGCCAGCTGATGCGTCTGCAGACAGTCCCTGCCCCCCCCACTCTCACCTCAAAACGGGGCTCAGAACATTCACGGCACTTGTTAAAAATGACCTTCCAGGGTCTCTGGGGTGGGGGGGCTCAGGTGCCGTCAGATATCATTGGAGAAGAGCTGACACCATCTGGATATATAGAAATACATCGGAAAGTCAAGTCTGGCTGAAAACTTTAAGATGAATTGCTCATTTTTGTTGTGCTACATCATTAATAAAGCCTATAAAACTGGAGATTTGTTTGTTTGATCGCCTTTCTGTAAGATATTACAAATTCCCTGAGATGCTCAACTTTACCATGTTCATTGATGCAGCTCCACTGCCTGTGAAGGCCACTCGGCCTCTTCCTTTGAAGCTCACGTCACCCACACATGTTCCACATGCAGGGCTGCTTGAAGACGGGCTCCAGTTTGTCTGCTTTTCTGCTGGAATAGATCCTCCCGGATTGTTTTCCATCTCATGAATTATTCAGCGGCCGGGACAAAAAGCACAATGGGGTACCAGCGATTGATGGAGACTCTCATGTTGCAGCCAGAATCATATCAGAGGTGGAGCATGAAGAGGAGGCTTGTCAGTTGTCTGCTGACATTTCTCTTCCTAATGGTAGAGCCAGAGAGCACACCTTTACTGTATCTCAGAGAAGGTTTTTTTCTTTTTCTTTAAATGTTTACCATTCTGCATTCTGTCCTTTACTTTCTATGAATGATTCTGAGTCTCTTACATCCTGTGAGTGATTCAGATTTATTTATTTTTTGCATTCAATAAATGATTCTGATTCTTTTACATTCTGTGAATGATTCTACAGTCTGAACAATTGATTGACTTACATTCTGTGAATGATTCTTCTGCTGATTTTTTTAAATTCTGTGAGTCATTCAGATTCTCATGAAACTTCAGATTCACTTTGAGAGCCGCTTCCTAAATGCTGCAGTGTGAATCAGTACGACACGAACCTGCGAGTGTCCCCATATCCAGCCATAATGATAGAGCATGGTACAGTCGCTCCATCATGCACCTCAATGAAGACCTCTTAGCTTTTGAAAAACTCTGAAATGGGAAAAGTGATTATCAGGTTGATGTCATCTCCTTTTTCCCCCCCAAAACAGCATTATTGTCTTATCTTCAGATTGGTTAATTTAGTGAGCGTGCTCAGATTTGGCTGTTGCCCTGCTTGCAGCTCACTGGGGGTGTCTAGGCTGATTTTTTTCCTTTTTTTTTAATTATGTGTTTTATTTGACAGCCAAATCTGATTTGAGTCTGGTGGGATCATCTCTGTGTCACTCATATGAGTTGAATACGGAAACATGCATTATTTTTATAACACAAATCAAGCAGGATTGATGCTACTTGTGAAAATTGTCCCTTCACTCACTCCAAAGAATGCAGACTTTTCTATTGATACCCGTTTATTCAGCCCCAAACACTGATGGATTATACTGTGCAGTGTCCCCACCCTTGCACTAGGTGGCACTCAAAGCACATTGATCTGGGCTGCGTTTTTTTTTTTTTTTTTGCCAAACGTGAAATGAGACCAAATCTGGTCAAATGACAGAAGATGGGTTAGGGAGAATGGTTATCACTTTCGATCTTATGTTCTGCTGTGCATGCATTCCTCTGCAGCTTGTTTTTGTTTTAAAATGCAATCGCTGAAATGGTGTCCTTTAACCTGGACTAACAAAGATTATCATCAAAATAAAATAAGTGCTTCCCCCTTGCTGATCAGTCTTACATACAGTACTGTCTCTGTTGTAATTATGGTGGAGAATTCAGCAAAGATGCCCTAGAAGTTTGAGCCTGCGGATTTCCCTTGATTTCGCTGCTCCTGCACTGTGAACATTTCCCCTTGTTTCCTGTTTACCACCTTGCCCTGCCTTGCTTGTTCTGTTGTTTTTCTGCCTGTTCTTCCTCACATCTGTGTGTTCTAATGCCTGTCGATCCAGCCTGAGAGGTTTTTGTGGTTCCGAGTAAGACTTGGGCACCCAAGAAGCAATATGCAAATGGCTGAGCCAGTAAAGCGAAGGCTGGCTCTGTGGCTATTGGTCTGATTCATGTCCCCCAGTCTGTATGTTGGGGACTGTATGCTCTCTCAGTTCAAAGACTGACTTTTCTTGTTCAGTCAGTCTTGAAGTTGATGTGTGAGTATGTTTGTGTGTGTGTGTGTGTGTGTGTGTGTGTATGTGCACGAGCGAGCATGCATGTCTGTTTGTGAATGTGAAACCTGGCATCCTGTCCAGGGTGGCACAAGATTCCTGTCCTGTGACATAAGATTCTTGGATTTACCTTTAGCATCACCACACTGAAGGGGTTTGTGTGTGTGTGTTTGTGTGTGTGTGTGTGTGTGTGTGTGTGTGTGTTCTAGCTACATAATCTGCCATCTTTACTGTCCTAAAACATGCAAGCAGACTGATTTTGTCATCAGATTATGAGAAAGATCTTGATAGGAGAGAATATGGGTTTTAGTTTCTGCATTTGCAAGAGACGGTTTGTCATGTGACCTGCCCCCCTCCCCCGCCCCTGCAGGTTAATCTATCGGGAAGTTATCTGCACCCTTTTAGCAAACGCCAGTAACACCCACAATGAGCACCTGCTCTCTACGCTGCCTGGATCAGCTCCCCTCACAGTTCAAGGGCATAAGGTGCATTTTCTAAAATAATAGCCACATGTCTGTACTGGCTTACCGTATGACTGATGCAGAGTCCCCAGTTCCCCCAGCCCCAAGTCACTAGCTACCTATAGGTGTATACAATGGATCCCAATTTACAAAACAGGGTGTTTCCCAAATGTGAGCCACCTGTCAGTTATTCAACTCTGTTGCACCATCAATAAGATTTTTTATTCATTCGTGTTTTAAAGGTCTCTTCTTCCAGTCCAGCTGAGCTATATAGCCAAATTTTTATGAATAAAACAAAGCTTTTATTTGTAACAGAACTCCAAATGAGTCTGCTAATCAGTTAAATTAAATAATGAACACTACCATAATCATTTAAATTTGAAACATGGCTATTTTTTATCCTTATGATTATTCCTGAGAATTGAAAATGAAACTGCCGGACAGTTAAAGCATTAATTGGAATGTGGCTGTTTACATACATCTCTCATTTCAATGAACAGCTCAATCAAGAGTAACTCATTTTAAAATGCAACAAATACCAAAAAACGGTTAATAAGGTGGACCATAATGAGCAGGATCGAAAATAATTATTGTAGGTGACCACAATGTATTTTTTTCCATTGTCAGAATAATCTTTATTTAACAGGACATGAAACTCTTATATGTCCAACACCTTAATTAACAGAAACTTTGCAATTTAGTTGTATCAAAGTATTACAATTTCATTCCTATTTATTACAAATATTACAAGTACTTGATAACATTCAGTATTTCAAAATATATATAGTAAACCCTGTTGATAATAAATGTATAAAACATAAATCGGAAGAACATTGTGTACGTGGTAATTCTAGAATAGATGTTTAACTAACTGCTTTTAACATAAATGTTATTTAGAAGGTCCTACATGTTTTTCTTTGGGGTTAACAGTTGGTACAAAAGTAAAACAAAACAAAATGGTATAACTGTCTTCATCCCTTACAGAAAACTTGTTGAAAAAAATTAAACTAATGCATACCATTTTAGACAAGCTATAGTATTATCATTTGGACATGTCGTAGTTTATCTTGCAGCTGTTGAGTCAAGGTACTTAATCCTAACATAAAATACACCCCCCATCCTCAGAACTTGTGGTGTTTTAGTTCTTTGTCATTTGTGTTTTGGCCTGAAAATCTTCAGAAGCTTCTCCACCTCATTGCCGACAGAATGCAATGAATGAAGTAAAAGAGGGTGGCTATGTGGGAGAAGACCTGCAAGATGGAGAGATCAGAGAGAGTCAGTGTCACCGGCCGCTCATAGACACGGGGAATTTCCATGCGCATTTTATTACATAACAAGCACTGCAGCTTTACACCCACAGTGCTGAGGGTTAGGGTTCTGGGTGTGTGTGTGTGTGTGTGAGAGAGAGAGAGAGAGAGAGAGACAGAGAGTGAGTGGAGTTAACTGTAGGGCATGACCCATGTACATATTACAATACAATATGTCCCCACAATGTGATACCCTCTTATTTTGAAATTGTGGGGGCATTTTCTTGGTGCCTACAAGGGAAACTCAGTTTTATATAACATCTGTGCCTGCAATCAAAAAACTAAAAACACCAAACGTCTTGTATCTTGTTTGGTTACTTATGATTACAGTTTGGGCTGGGTAGGAGCTAAGGTCATCAAAGTTGGGATTCAGGTTGTGCTCATAGAAATGAATGGAGAGTCCCCACAAAGATATAGATACCTCATCTATGTGTGTGTGCGTGTATGCAGTGTATCCTCCTGCAGTCCAAAGACAAACATAAACTGTCTGTGGTGTGACAGCAGTGTGCCCAGTGACAGAGACCGTTTCACGAGTACCCCTCCCTCCAAGCCCCACTGTCCTGTGCTGTATCAGTGCATATGGAAGATGGATGGAAAAAAGAAATTTGTCTTTGTTAGGATACCTACCACTGCAGCAATGTCGATCCGGTAATACCGGTTAAAAGTATTCAAGTCAGTAATACTTTGACCGAAAGCCAGTAGACCGTTTCCATACAAGCAGGTGATGTAAGCCAGGGCAACAGACGCACTGAGGTAAAAGAACGCTGCCAGGAAATGATACACAAAGTCCTAAGAAAGAAGAATTCGATTTTAAAAGGATCATTGATTATGCACAACAGAAGCAGAGGATTATGGGGCATGTTTAAGCTGGGGCGCAAAACTGTGGTGGACCATATTAAACATCGTCAGCACCACTGTCTACACAGACATGACTGTACGTAGTTTTTAGCATTAATGAATGGGGTGCAGTTCCATATATTGCCATTAGGTGTACCATTACTGTCAATCATTTGTATAGGGATGACCACCTTCCCCCATCTTGGCACGGGTCAGGAGGGGGGGCCTTACCGCGGCTGCCCAGCTCACACTGTTCCTGTGTCCTCCACAGAGAAAAATCATCAGCCATATGAAGGTCATGATGAAGCAGAAGATTGACACAAACATCACCCATCCTAGAGGGTTGGCTGGAATCACATGTGAAGAGGCAACAAGGATCCAAACTAGTCCTCCAAAGATCTGGAAAGAGAAAATCCAAAATGTAAGTGGTCCTGGTACCTTCTAAGTCAGTCTGCATGGTCTAGGTAACACTGCACTTATACCAAAAGCAGGTGGACAGGGGCTGTGATTAATGTGATTAATTAACTTTACATCACTTTACATAACTTCTAATCGATAATCTTAACTGTTCCAACCACAAAGAACTAACATTATTCACAGAAGAACATAAGAGTTGGCTGATGGAACCTACTGATTTTTTTCCCCCTTATCACTAATCATGTGACACAGAAAGCCCCGCCTCCTTGAACAGAACCATTGACATAATTACGCTACATAAGAAAAGCAGTGGTACACCCTTCAATTGTAATGTAATTTGTTACTCATCTATCATGTATTAAAAAAACATTGTCATCCCATTGTGCCTAATAAAACAAAACAGAATTAAGAATAAAACAATGTACTTAATCATTCTAAGTTATTCTATCCAGCTGCAGCTCTGTAGATCACTTACACAAGCATCTGTGAATTAATGTTCTTGTTCAGGGACTCGTTCATGAAGCGTTGCAACGGTGCTAAATTTTCTTCCTGCTGTTTTATCAGTTAATTAGCATAGTGTAATACATAGTGCAGTGCTTTTGGTTTTAACCTGCAATGTTTTTTTTTTCCATTTGTAATATGTATTTAAATTTCTATGTGTGCTGGTACCCACTCAGAGAAGTAAGGCAGTGATTGTTTAGAAAAAATCTAATTATGGTATCAGGGTTAAAAGTGTTTGGAAGCCACTAATTATATTCAAAACACCACTGATTTACACGTCATACGCTTCTCATTTTTGAATAACATACCGGTGGGATTTGCTGGAAAATACAAAGACATGGCTGGAACTAATAAATAAATAAATGGTCATCCATTCATCTCTCCATCCATCTATCTATCCCTCCATCTATCCATCCAACTAGTAAGTACTCATCCTGGTCAGGTTACAAAGTGATAAATGATAATATTTCATATATAATTATAAAGATTATAGCCTGTTCAGGTCCTGCACTGAAAAAAGAAATATGTAATAGATTGTACAGTATATCCATTTTGTCTATCCTGTACATATCGAGCGATCTCTCCCTGGGTCAAACCTGTACAACAGCACAGAGCTGTACTGTATATCCAAAAGAATTGCAGGTATCTTCCCATCTCCATATCTGCTCACACATTCAGTGTAACATGCCAAATAAATCTGATGGTTAACTCACAGAAGATATTTTCCACCACAGACAGATATATACAGTACACTGAGTTATGTGTCAGACATATAATTCAATATATAATTGTGAGAGAACACAATTGACGGGACGTGTCTACAGATCAAAAGACTGGTGCTAGCTTTTGCTGGGGCTCTGTTTGAGAACACAGCAGCAAAATAACAAAATCCATGCATAAAAATTTGGGAAACTGGTTCCATCCACATCTATTACAAAATACCATTCTCTAAAAAATTTGTGTTCATTTTTTCAAGTTATTTATTTTTGTGAGTGAGCTTGTAGTCTGGCACACCCGATCTCATTCCCTTGCAGAAATCCGTCTTTTTCTTGCCATCTTTAAGACTTGTAATCCAACCTTCTTGTTCTAAATTTACAGTGCAACGTCAATGGTGATTATGTTGGCTGTGAACATGGGTGTGATGAGGTCCAATCCAATCATAGCCCCAAGTACTCTACCCCCGATGCCAGTCTTCCTTCAAAAAAGTCAAGCCCCAGGCAAACTTGTCTTAGCCCCCTGACCTTTTCAACAGCTAGAAATGCCCCTGGTTGTGGATAAAGAAAACATCTGAAAACTGATATAAACAGTACTTGCAGTAAGTTTGTGATCATTTCCATTGTCATTGGTAATTAATACTGTTCCCAGCAGGTATCCTAGAACATGATAAACGAGTTTAGGCTCAGCGTGCCAGTCTTTCTTTTAAAACTGCCAAAGAGAATAACCTTGGGGGGGTTAGGTGGGAGGTGGGAGTGCACGCCGTAATACTTACCAGCTCTGGAAGGTAAAAGACGTCCGGGACAGTGGTGCATACGCCAAGGCCGCTGGGTAAACTTCCCACTGGCTGTGCTGTGGTAGATGCCATGGTCTTTCTGCTTCAGATCTTGGCCACTCAAGTGGCTGAACAGGAGGACGGCCGCTCCTTTTGAAGAATGGCCAAAACTTGAAAAACCAGCTTTCGTATGACGACGGGACCGTGCGACCAGACACACCCTGAAAATACAATTAAGTGTTTTGACTCTGCGCCTCCGTGTTGGTATGCAAAAGAAAAAAAAAAATTTTAATGATAAGGTGACAAATTAGATACAAGCTGTGCTGATCTGGGATAAAATGTGATTGGTCGTTTGTTTTGTGTGTCAAAAATGTGTGAGGATACTGCAGTGGGGGGTTACCTCTTATTTCGTAACAGCCTTATCTGTAATCTTATAAGGGCTAGATATGTGACCAAAACATTTTACGGTGAACAGTTAACGTCATCGTAAGTCTGCAACACCAGAACTTGTGCACTGTCATAGTTCACCATGGTCCAGTGATGAAGCCTGCATGAATGAGGTTTGGTGCTCAGGAACACAATCTCTCCTACTCTCTGATGTTTTAACTTATTTAAGTTCATTGTGGTGAAGTTTGGATGGCAAGTATTTACCTCCTCAGCCTTGGAAAACCTCAAGGCTTAGAACTCAGAAGTCATTTCACCAAAGTATGGAAATGTTATGCAGGTTACCTTCCACAGAACATCTGGGGGTTTTAAAATATCTTGAAATACTTTTCCTCCATCACGTTTCATAGCTTGCCCCCAAGCAGAATTAGTGTCCTTCAGTGAGGAAGACTGTGCAGGGTGTGCACAGCAGGCTGACCGCCGAAGATGTAGCCCGGGAGGGTGACGGAAAGTTGAAGTGGGAGTGACGAAAGGCACAGAAGGGTTGACGTGGCAGCCAGAATCTCCATGACAACCGGGCCAAGCCTGCAACTAGGCAGCTCGGTTAAGCTGCTGTGGCTCACGTTCATACCAATTAGTAACAGTGGAAGAAAGGGTTGAGGCCATAGAAACAAAATTTTCCCAGTGGGAGTGTCTAACATGTTCTATTATTCAAAACCTGTGATCTGGATTTACAGCAATTCACTATTTGCCCAAAGATGTTTATTTTGCACGTCTGGAATGTTTTCATTCCTTATTTTAATTTAGGTAATACTGTATTTTGGTGTTGGTAACATGTAGGCAGCTCAAATTGGTAAATTAATGTCTAAGCTATTAAGAGATGGGATTGGGTGGTGGGACTGTCACAGCCTCCATAATCCATTTCCTCCTAGGAACCACTGAGGAGAGTATTTGAAGAGAACCTGGAGATGTGGCAAGGATGGCATCACCATAGATGGGTGGAAGCCAGACGAACCGGTCGGGGGCACCAAAGGCTGGCGATAACAAAAGATGTTTGTAAATCTTACCAGTCTGGCCATGCAAGAAGGGTCCCACCCAGCCTGACAATGGCTTGGAGGAGGAAACGTGTTTCCCAAAGGCACCTGTGCGGAGTTGGCAGCTTTCGGCACAATATGGTTCTGCTGTTACACAACTGGCTTTTAATTTGCCCACACCTCATATTTTGATATAGGCAAGCTACCTTCTTAATCAAAATACAATTAGGGAAAACAATGTTTCTCCTACCGTCACCCTGTAGTGAATGAGCAGCTACGGGTAGATGGCTACTTACTCATTACTTACACAAAAGTTATGCATAAATATCAATAATGGAGTGCATAGTTCCAGCAGTGACAATCAGTACCAGTATTACCTGTATCACACCTACCGAGATTACAAACCAAGATCACCACAGTTTGCACAACTAGCAGGGAAGATGATTAATCCTTGAAGAATAAGACCAAAAGTCTGAGCGAACCCATTCGACCGGTTAAACTCAGTGGGGATGGCGTCACAGTCTTGGTGACTGGCATATATCCAGGAAGCTCTGATGTTGAGATTTTAAACATGAAATAAAGTCAGAGGAAAGGAAAGTAGATGATCTTGGGATCAAAAGGACTCTAATATGTACCTCAAGACGAGATCTCCCTGAGTGAAAGGTAAATAGTACTCATTTGTGCACTCCCAACTATGTCAATGAATACTTCATGTAAGCCGTCTTGGGTTAATGTATCTACTAAGTAAATAAGTAATCATTTTAGCATCCAACAGTAGCCTCTGTTCAGTGCTGACTTGGTGAAGGTGCACATGCTTTTCTGCAGCCACAGGACCTTCCCTGAACTGCCTTAAAAGCCCCATGTGATTTACAAGTGTGAGGCTCCAAGGGAAGTGGATCTATCTTTCCCCCATAGAAACTTCCAGAACATGCGCCCCCAGGCCTGCTGTGTGGTGCCGGATGTCAATTATTTTCTGATTAGATCCTACATACATACACAGATCTGCAATTTCCTTAAAAAATAATAACGTTTTAAAATCTATATTACATCTGGATTCCTGGGGCGGCATGGTGGTGCAGTGGTTAGCATTGTTGCCTCCCACCTCTGGGACCTGGGTTTGAGTCTCCACATGTGTGTGGAGTTTTCATGTTCTCCCCATATTGTAGTGGGGTTTCTTCCAGGTACTCCAGTTTCCCCCCACAGTCCAAAGACATGCTGAGGCTAATTGGATTTGCTAAATTGCCCTTAGGTGTGTATGTGTGAGTGAATGGTGTGTGAGTGTGCCCTGTGATGGGCTGGCCCCCCATCCAGGGTTGTTCCCAGCCTCGTGCCTGTTGCTTCCAGGATAGGCTCAGGACCCCCCACGACCCAGTAGGATAAGCGGGTTGGACAATGGATGGATCTGGATTCCTTAACCGTCTTCATTGCCTCCTTTGTGTATTTGCCCAGTTGACAGAGCCAACCATGTAAATAATTCTTGTGCACAAAAGTGCTGAAAAAAGTAAATCAGAGTAATATAATGTCGGTGTACAACAAAGTAATTTTATTGTTCAGAAAACGGGTTTAACTTTTTATTTAATTAGCCTCTAAAAATGTAATTAGGCTTTGGATTATTTGTGCTAACCATGTTCATATTAAAAGCTCTTTTCATAACTAAACCTCACAACAAAATTAAGAAATATCCAGAAAGGGTGTGACATTCACTACTATGACGAGTCCTCTAACAATGTATTCTGGTCTCTAGCAAACAAACTGGGATTGTCGCTTACTTTATTACATTGAACGTCTATTGTGAAGTAAACAATATTTGTTCTCGCTAAATACTTGAAGCTGCTCTCCTACCTTACCTGTGGGAGCAATAAAAGTTAAAGTATGGTGTTTGTATGCTTGAGTGGGTAAAACATGAACCAAGTATACTGGGAGGAATGGGTGCTCATCACAGAAACCTTCCTTAGTGCCCGCGTGCCCTAGATTCCTCTGGAGATGTGATTGACAAGCAGACACTAGATCTCTAATAGCTAATAATTAAGAAACAATAGAATATGAGTGGAAAAATGTCCTTTAAAAATATTGTTGCGCAAAGGTTATAAATGACCTATAAACAACCTGCCTTTTCGTAATATTGCGCTCTGTGGACTGGATGCAGCAGCTGGTTTCACTATAATCTCAAAATGTACAGAGAGGTAGATTCCTATGACTAAACCATACAGGAAACACTGATCTTAATATTAGACACTGATATCTGGTTACTAATTAAGTTGCATGATACTTAGGAGGTTGTTGGGAACCGCACAAACCAGTGGCCAATTTGGCGGCTCAGGGTTAAATGAGAAATATCAGCAAGTCATGTCAAAGTAAATGTCGCTTTTTGCCAGTGCGTGCTTCTCATCTCAACAGAATCGTGCAATTAATTTTAACGTAATAACGCGTTATTCTTTTCAAATCTGTTAACATGCACTGTCCCAGTCTACCTCAGAGCCCCGGTTGGGGTCAGGACAATGTTGTAGCACAGTGTTTGTCAGCACATTTTTGTGGACTTTTAATGTTACTGAAGGCCATTCCGTAACTTTTGCATTACTTCAATCCTTTTATTAATCCATACATACCCAGACAGCACACAGGATGCCAGGATGTTGGTTTGAGATCTGAACATAGTGTTCTATATAGGCCTATTAATCATTTTATTACATATATATGCTAATATGTGTTTCAGCGAGCAAAAGTTTTTTTGAATGATTTTTCTTTAAGCGGTTAAGCATAACTGTTAAACCTATTGTTGCTGGTCCTGTCATATTATCCATATTTAAAATAATGAACGTATTGAATCAATATTCGGTAGCGATATCTTTGCGACATTGTGCCAGTGAGCAAACGGCCTCATAGAGATGCTTTGCTGATGGATTTTTAAGCATCGCAGAGACATCGTGCCCTTGCATGTGTGCTGTCTGGGTTGTTATATCATCTTAGTGTTCCTGCTGTGTCAGTACGAGACAATACAACTGTCAAGTTTTATGTATCACTGTACCTAATACACCCATTCAATGTACCACCATAAGGTCGGATGATGTACGATCAAAAACGGGAAAATAGCGGAATAGGCTGCATTTCCCTATTAACATCTTTACACAAGACACAATAACGCGTAAGAAGCCCATTCAAATTTCAGTACTTTTAATTATTTAATTTGAAAAGGTAATTAGTTGCATTAAGCCTACTTGTTACCACCAAAAGTAGTGAAATTCTATACCAACACTGGTCACTATCAATGTAATGTAAAAAAAAACAAGTGTTATTTTTTTTTTTTAGTTTGTACTGTAATTTTCTGGGGCTTTTCACTTCTTTCCCTTAAACAGATAGATATAGCACTTACTTATAGACAGAGATGGAAAGTACAAAAAGTACAAATCCAGACCAAGATTTTGTGTCAACCAACCAGTTGAGTCACATTCACAGAGTACTCAACTGGTTGGGTGAAACAAAATCTGAATTTGTATTTTTTGAACCTACACTTTCCACCTCTGCTAAAAGTAATTTAATGTTATTAAATTTATAAAAAAAAAAAAAAAATTGTGACATACAAAGTTAAGCCCGTTATAGATTGTCTACAAGGGAAAATCCTGTTACTTGAACAATTATTTTAACAACAGCAAGCTGCTGCCTTACTTGTTCGATAATGTATTTATGTATCTGACCAGCATTTTTTTCCCTGTTGGTGAACATAATCGTAATGTATTTTCAAC